AAGGGCCTTAGCTACATGTTTTGATGAGTTGAGGGACCCCAATTATAGCAATAGTCCCTCCAACATAACTTATTTTGACAAAATTCTAATGAAGTTAACGAAAATGATCATAGCTACACATTTTGATGAGTTGATGGATCAATAATAATGGATTTTTAGTTGAGGGACTATTGCTCCAATTTGATTAAAATTGATGGACAATTGCTACAATTTAATCATTGAAAATCTTTTGCGACTCCTCCTCACCAAGCAGCCACTTTGCTCCAGATCTTTCAAATTGAAATTCCTCTCCTTCACCCTTTGCATGTTGAATTTCACATCAACACTGGTAATTGGACAATTCCTCCGACGCCTGCCATCAAGGTTAGTCTAAAACTATTCCTACCTTATTGACCTATTGCATGTCAAAATTTGCTTCGAATTTGTGATTTAATATAATTGGGCTTTAGAAAAAATTTCATGATTTTCTCTAATCCAATTTAACGATTAGAAATTTTGATTCTTTTTAATCTAAATTTAGAAAATTATATTCAAATTTGTTTTACATTTGATTTAGTGGTATTTAGGGGTTGTGTTTTAGTGTTTCCTAGCTTGAGTTGTATATAAAGAAAAAGTGATTTTTTATGTTCTAAAATGTTCATCATGGTCATAGACACGAGTCTGATATTATCAAGTAAGATGACGAGTCCTCTTGCATTCATATAATTACATTTGTGAGTTACTTTTCTAGATTTTTGTTGATTTGTTTACTTATCTGGTATATTCGAAAAGATATATGACACTGCCGAGAACATTATCAATTTATGCATGAAAATGCAACGTTGGGGCCAATCTAATCATTTATTTTCGAGGTGAAATCCGATCAGGTCTGTCAGAAAATCACCCCGTACGCAACGGAGTGGATGCAAGTTTCTTGAATGCTCCTTTGATCGGGTCCCATCCTTGTAAATAATGGAAACCCAAATAAAAGAGGGTTAGGATCCCATCATCCTAACATTCCAAATTCTAACGGGTCTCCATGTACCAAAACAAACGGGCCTCAGTTATCTGGTACGGCCCACTTCACCTGGATGACTTTGCCTTCAGCTTCACAAAGTCGACTCAACGCCCTCCAACAGTTCGACAAATCGACTGAGTGAAACTCCACCACACCAACCATGTTTCCGAAGCAACTCCGCACCGTTGGCACAGCCGCCGCCGTACTCCTCGGCGGATTCCTCACCCTCAACCTGGCTTCCACCGCCACAATCGGAGCGCTCCGGTTCGCCGCCGAATCCAAACGGGTAAAAAGACCAAAAACCCAGCTCTTAACTTCCAAAATATCTTCTCCGTCTTTACTGAATTGGTATCTTATCGCCATTTTGTTGGTGGGTTTTTGCGGCAGAGAAGGGTTGCGCTGCCCTGTGTGGTTTGCAGAGGGAAAGGGTTTTATATATGCAAGCTTTGCAAAGGGAATGCCACCATTGAATGGTCGCCGCTGCACGATCCGATTGCCATCAACCCCTGCCTTTGCCCAACCTGTGATGGAAATAGGTAAATTCAACACTAATGCTCTTTGCTTCGATAATCCGTCGGAAAATTGACAAAAAATGCAATACGATATGTAACGAAGGTTAATGGTACTAATTGTGTCCACGTATTTTGTGATAAAATTTCATCGTGGGGGAATATAAACGTTTGTTGATTATACGAATGTAATTAGCAGTGAGCCGCTGGTTCGTCTCTTTAAAATTTAACATTGCTTTGCATGTGAAATTTTGTGTGTTTTGATGTTTTTTTTAATGGGATTTTGCAGGGTGCAACGCTGTCTCAACTGTCTAGGGAAGGGATACAATTGAATAGTTGTATAATAAATGGCAGAATGGTTATTTCTTTTGTTCATAATCGTGTAATGTTACTCAACCTTATATCTTAGTGTAAAGTGTGAGGTTTTTACGAATGCGTTCTGTTCAAAATCCGTTTCCGGATTCAAATTAATGTAATAGTTTCGAATAAGAGAAGTAAGAAAGAGAAATTAGATCAACTAGTTCTCCTAATCGATTCAGTTTCTTAATTTTTGGGTGCTTAATTATGAATTTTAAGGAAAAATTTGCACATTTTCGATTCTGGCACAACATCAATCTCATCCTCTCTCTTTCTCTCTGCCTCCTTTTTAATGCTTCAGGTCCGTCTTCATTTTTTTAATTTTTTTGGGTTAAACGGTCTGAAGCCCAACATACAGGCCCATAGCGAAAATTTAAAAACCCAAACCCAACCCAACATAAAACAAAAGCCGACATGCTTTCTCAATTCGATCATCCGACGTCGTGTTGGTTTGCTGTTTGCCAACCGCACCCGAAGTTTCTGGTGTGTACATCACCTGGAGGCCCCACAATATGATGTCCCGCTAGGGTCCCACAAACCGTCCGGTTGGGGTGGTGTTCCAGCTTGAACTCCGCCGCGTGTGACCCACCAGCCACCCTCCTCGACGTGGCAGCCTCCCCTTAGTTCCCGCCTTGTCAGCAGAAACTGAAAAATGGATAAAAAGTGAGGTGCCGCTTTTGTTGTTTTCGGGCGGAATGAATCATCGGTGGCCCGCGTACACGTCGGTTCAGAGGCTAACTTAAACCCGATGTCGGCGTTTAAACTTATACGTGTGAGAATCCAAATCAATTTGGAATAATTAATCGATAGACGATTAGGGATAAGAACAAGAATAAGAATTAGAATTAGGTTGCAATTTTGGATATTCTTATTTTTGTTTTTCATAAAGTGCTCGATTAGAATGATATTTAAAATGACTGAAAGCGTTTTGTAAATATAGAACGGACATCTAGTAAAAAAATTTACCCAAGTAAATGTGGAAAAAACGCTTGACTTGTGTTTTCTATAAGCACATAACTCATATTTTTTTATAAAAAGTATTTTAAGTGCTTTTGAAATCCAGAATTATTTTACCTAAAATGCCTTGAGTCTTTTAAAAAAAGCCCTTGAGTCATTTAAAAAACATTTCTAAACAGACACTAAGAGCTCGTTTGGATGTGCTTTTAAAATGATTATAAGTACTTTTAGAGAAAATATTTTTTGGTTCCAAAAGCATTTGAAGTACATTCTACAAGAATAAACAGTTATGTACTTCTTCCAGAAAATACTTTAAGTGTTTTTTTTCAAGATTTACTAGCATTTTTACTAAAGATTGTTTCTAAAAATATTTTCACTAGTCATTTTAAAAGTACATTCAAACGAGTTCTAAGTTATTAGGGTTGTCATGTAAAAATGACCTTAAATTAGTAAGAAATAAGACTTTCATTTATAAATTTAATATTGAAAAGTTGTGATGTTTTTCAAGTGATATTATTTTTTATATTAAATTAGCTTGAATTTCACAAAAAGAAACAAATCTTTTGACATTATTTTTGTTTGACTATTCTTTAGAGGAAGTTTTTTTCTTTCACCTTACTTTTCATTTCCCATGCAAATTCGTTATGCCTTGAAAAAGACTGATATTCCAATAATTTCCAACCGTGTTTACCCGGCGCAATGTAGCGGGGATTAACTATCGTCAACTGTTTGCTTTGTGTGGAGGTTTCCTAACTGCACTAGAAGACAAAAAGGAGGCGGTTATCTCGTTAGAATACAACTGCCAACAGGCCAAATGGCATGTAATCATCCTAAGAGAATCCCTGCGTTCAATAAAGTAATGCCCTTGCATGGCTTCTTATTAACACAAATGCCACTCTTTATTTAAATTTCATAGTACCTATCTGTAAAATCAACCTTGAAGCATCATTTTCCCAACTAATAAATTTGGACGGTTAATTGATTACAAGAAAAGTCATGCATTTATTTTGTCAATGGAAAAGTGATACACGCGTATGAAATTAATGAAATATGGATTTAGGCTTGGCAATTTCTTATCTAATCTCTTTGGAATTAATTTATTAATTAGTTAGATCATTATCGGATCACCTATTAACAACATGATAAGATATCAGTTTAAACATTATGAATCACAGTTTCTTGCATGGTCCGTTAACTCGACAAAAGTCATCAACAAATTGAGTCATTATCGGGTCACTTGTTAAGAATTCGTTAAGATAACGGGTTTGACAAACCGTGACTCGTTAAGATAATGGATATGTCATGAAAATGACACGAAAACGACTCGTTTGCCAAGCTTAATTCAGAGTGTGTATATCTTCAGAGTCACTATTGAATTTTGTGCAATTGATATAAATGTATAAATTTTGTTTCTTAATAGAGACATGTCAAACGAAAAAAAAAACTCAATACTCTTACCATTCAAATGTTCACATGATTCATCTAAATCTCATGTATATTTTCTATCATCAAAGCAAAGTAGCACACTTGTACTTACAAAATATAAACAATGAAATCTTATCCACAAAATCACAACTAGACGCATATTAGACTCAGACTCAAACATACACCAAAATAAATTAAAATTACACAACAAGCTCCACCATTTTAGGGATGAGAAGAAATCCATATCTATTGGATTAGGTTTAGGACCACAAAATCAGATCAACAAGAAAATTCCTATATTTTTTATGATTGGAAGGTTCTTATTTCACAAGAATCATAATAGGTGGGATTTTAACCTAAAAAAGGGTACCTTATCTTCCTAATTCTTCTGAAATTTAATACAAATAATTAATTTTTATTTCCAGCCACCTACAATTTATTATATCACATATCAATTTCCATCAGTCCAAAAAGAAAAAGAATGAGGGAAAAATGTGAAAGAAGTCACATGATTTCCACACAATTTATTTAAAAAACACTAATTTTGGTTTTTTTAATATTAAATTAATTAGGTTTATTCATGAAATAAATATATTTATTTATACATAGCAATCTCATACAAGTTGTAAAACACAAAAAGCAACAAAAATTCATGAGGAAACAGAGTGGCAACATGGAAATTTCGAGAAACTCTCGGGGCAAAGAGTTGATATCCCCCCTGCTACTCCCATACAAGTACAAACGCATATCACACGCACATACTGTTTCTCAACACCCAAACATTCGCTCTCTCACTCCTCACTTTCTATCTCCATGACTACCATGAAAGAGCCACCTCTCTCCCGTCGCAGAAGGCCAACTTGCCACCAGCCCAAGAAGCTGAAGCTCGTCTGCTGCTTCAACGGCGCGTTCCATCCCCGCCCGCCGTCCGGGAAGCTCCGCTACGTCGGCGGCGAGGCCAGAATCGTATCCGTGGACCGCAACATCGTGTACTCCAAGCTCCGATCAAAGATTTTGGATCTTTGCCCCAACATTAACCCCTCAGTCACCCTCGTGTACCAGCTCCCGGGTTCCTGCTCCGACTCCGACTCCGCCGCCCCTCTCGTCATCGTGGCGTCAGACGACGACGTTCGGTGCATGATCGAAGAGTACGACAAGCTGGAGCTGTACGGTAAGTCCCCGAGGCTCTGGGTCTTTGTTTGTTGTAGCAATGGCAGTGATGATGTCAATGGTTATGTAAATTGCGTGAAAGGAGTGAAATTTAGTAATGGGTTTGAGTCGGGGAGCGAACATATAGGGATCCACCACCATTTGGGTGGCGAAGCTCAGGTAGAGGAGAAGGCGGCGGTGAAGAACTTTGGGGGCGGACGGTCCGGCGATGAATCGCTGAGAAAAATGGTGCTGAAACAGCAATTGCTTGCAAAGCAATCGGCTTTTCGGCGTCGTTTTGGTGATGGTGAGAGTGATGTGGAAATGGGGTTTTTGGGTGAATCCCAAAAGGGTGAATCTTTTGATAGCAGATTAGGGACTAATTGTGGTCATAATCTAGGGAGTTCTTCGGTGGCTCGGGCTAATCCGTTGAATCCCAGAGATGGGAATTTGAGGTTGAAAAGTAAGAGTTATGGGCAGTGCTATTCGGGGAGGTCGGGTCGGGTTTTGTGCAATGGGGTTGGGAGGTCGAGTCAGGCGCCGCCTGCGAAACCAGTACCGGGTTGTAACGGTTGTTGTAGTGATGCTAAGCAGGATTATAGAAACAATGGAATGGCTGGATGTGAACAGAGAAAACATTATGCCTCGGGAGTGGGGCGTGATTCTTTGGCTGGAACCACTGTGTATCCTGTGAAGTCTTCTTATAGTGGTGGTAGGGCGTGGGGCGGCTTAAGGAGCCGGATTCGTAACCATAGGTTTGGTGTGAATGAAGCTAGAAATAAGCGGTGTTATCAGTACCATGTTTGGAACCATAATCGGAGCAACATAGCTGAGATGGGGAGCCATCGAACAAGGCAGGGAATTTCAGCACGGAAATGCTACCAAGGGCTTAGGCCAAATTTGAACATTGCGAAGCAGGAGCAGCCTGTAAGAGTATATAATCCCAGTTTATGGAGGCAATGTTCTGGTTTCTCGGAGCATGTAATGGAAGAAAGACTGAGGATGATGGGTTCTCGCTCAAAGAAAGACAGCTACTTGATAGATAATCCGAGCGAATCCTATTCAGGTAATTGTGGTGCATATACTGGTATGGGAAATCAACCTCTCGTGAATTCTGATGCCATTGAGAGTTCATCTCCATCTTTGAAGACAGTGGACATTCTGGAAGATCGCCTAACTGGTTCTAAGTTTGGGAAGTGTGAATGTCCATATCAAACTTCATATGAAAATCTTCATGGAATGCCCCGTCATTGTGAGCTTGAGAAGGAGACGCGCCTGATGGACTCTCATGCAGTTGCGAACACCTCTGGCTTTCCAAGTGAAGTGGGATGTAGTAATGGATTGGAAGGTGATAATAAGTTGCCTGATGGGGAAGCAGTCATCGACGCTTTACACAATTGCAAAAACGGCATTAATGACATACAACTTTCATGTAGCGGAGTCCCAGCTTCAGTGAGTGTTTCTTTGCATAACCTTTCACTGTCATCATCCAAAGAAGTGGAAGCTCCTCAACTCTCTTCTCATGCCACCAGTGTTGTGTCTTCTGATGTCAAACATCAATCAAAGCCTATAGATCTCATGGATGAAGGAAAATTTACCCCAGATCATCAAGTCGATGAATCCAACGGAGTTGCACCTAATCCTGCCTCCCAGAATTCAGCTAAGAAAGAGAAGGATAATGTGCATGATGAGGAGGTCCAACAGGACCCTTCATCTGGTATCACCATTGATGAAAAGGTAGTTACTTGAAGACATTTTATCTCCTTTTATTACTCTCAATATATGAGAAATCAGAAGGAAAAAATAACGTTTGTTATAGGTTTCTTGTAGCTTTACCATTCGAAGTATACTTTACTCAGCTTCGACTTATGATTCTGTTTTCTTAGGCCAACAATAAAGTAATTGGTGGAACCTCCAGTGATCTGGCTGCGTTTTGTGCTCATCAATCGACTCGAGAGCTTCAGGTAGCTTTCGATCATATACAATTTCTGCTTTTATAAGCATGTGGAGCGTGAATGGAATGTAGGATTGATGTTTTCCACTTTCTTACGCAGAACATCAAAAGTTCTGACCTTGAGTTCATAAAAGAACTTGGTTCGGGAACATATGGAACCGTTTACTATGGAAAATGGAAGGGTTCTGATGTTGCTATAAAGAAGATTAAGCCAAGTTGCTTTACTGAAGACACAGTGAAGCAAGAGAGATTGGTAATTTTTTCATTCGCATTGTTCGGCATAAATATTAGCTGTGGGAAAAGGCTTTGTTGTTGTTGTATTGTTCGGCATAAATATTCCATTGAGTAGAAAGAAAGTTAGGAGAGGAGAACATCTCTAGATTGTTTTTTATGATTGCGTGCACTTTTATACCTGCGTGCTGTGTTGACTCCTGTTTATTTCTCTGCAGCTTGCTGATTTTTGGAAGGAAGCTCGCATACTCAGCGAGCTTCACCACCCAAATATCGTGGCATTCTATGGTGTAGTGTCAGATGGACCAGTGACGGATTTGGCAACGGTGACAGAGTACATGGTGAATGGCTCCTTAAAACAAGTTTTGCAAAAGAAAGACCGGTAAGATAGTTTTACAGCATAATACAAGGATTTGAAAGTTGTAGTGCCGTGACTGTCATTTCCCAATCTTTAGTATATAGCTCATAGACCTGGCAATGAATAATGGAGGAGATCATTTTCTGAAGTTGCATTTCTGATTCACAGGACTATTGATCGTCGAAAGAGGCTGATTATAGGAATGGATGCAGCTTTTGGTATGGAATATCTTCATGAGAAGAACATTGTCCATTTTGATCTGAAATCGCATAACTTTCTTGTGAATATGAGGGACCCTCAGCGTCCAGTGTGCAAGGTATGCAGCCCGGGAAAAAATATGGGTGGTTTTATTAGAATTTCTTCTACCTTTATTCTTGTTAAGAATATTTTCTTTCCGCTTGCTAATTTGAAATTTCAACTTAATGCATTCAGATTGGTGATCTGGGCTTATCAAAGATCAAGCAGAGGACACTTGTTTCTGGTGGAGTACGAGGTACCATACCGTGGATGGCTCCTGAACTTTTGAGCAGCAACAACTTGGTGACAGAAAAGGTGAAGATCACTATTAAATGACCAAATGTTTCTAGTTTTCATGTCTTTTTGTCGATTACAGTACTGTTTTTGAATGAATTCGCAGGTTGATGTGTACTCATTTGGAATTGTGATGTGGGAACTCTTGACCGGGGAGGAACCATATGGACACCTGCGCTCGGAGGAAATAATAGGTATTCATTAAGTTAATCTTAGCAAAATAGAAGTTCGACAACTGGATTGCTTTCTTCTTATGGGCGATCAAAATTTGCTTAAAGCATTTTATTATGATATTTTCAGCTGGTATAATAAAAGGCAGTCTCCGACCTGAAATCCCAAGCTGGTGCGATCCAACATGGAGATCGTTAATGGAAAGGTGCTGGTCATCTGATCCCAACTCTAGGCCAACCTTCTCAGAAATTGCAAAGGAGCTACGCGCCATGTCAGCTGCCATGAACATCAAGTGACAAATATTGAAGCTCGCCTACACGCTCATGTAAATATTTCAGGATCACCAGGAGGAGGAAGTGCACATGCTGAGACATGGTTAAGTTTTGCCGTCCGCTGTCATGTGCAGTCTAATGAATCTTGCAGTAGGTTTAGTCACGTTGGGTGCCGTTTTTGCAGTTTTTGCACCGGTATGTGATAGGGCTAACAGATAGCGTATACAGACGGAGGCTGAATATTGTGAAGACTGAATATTGTGAAGATTTCGGGGTCGGTAGCTGGATGGTCCTGAAAATTTTTCATATAGACCTCTGATATTTTTCTTTTCTCATGAATTAATATTCCACTTAAGATTGTGATTACTATACTGAAGATGGAGAATGATAGAATTGAATTAGGAAAATGATTTTCGCACTCCCTGGTCTACACTCCCTTACTTGGTTATTTTCCTCAATTCACCGTTGATTTGTTCAACGTTGTAGCTAGAAATAAGAGGAGAAATGCAAGGAGATAAAAAGAGGGAGTGCGGAAATGATTTTCCGTTGAATTATTACTAGGAATGTGGCTTTATTTGTTTGTAGGGGGTGAGGCAGCATGTGCTTTTGGAAGGTCCATGCCCTTAGTTTTTCCTTGCTGTCTGCGGTTGCGGCCCTCAGAAAACAAGGTGAAACTGCAGAAAACCTTCCTGGCCCCGCCAGGCTTCCTACCTACCTATACAATTAGTTTTGATATGTCAAATAATCTGACTACAATTATATTATTTCGAGCGTTAGATTGTTGCACTGCATGTGTACCTAGGGGTTAAAATGATTTACTATTCATGCACTCGAATTGAATTATTCCTCTACCAATGTTTTAGGATAAAAAAATTTGAAAGTGTTTTTTCAAGATAAGTACATAAACCTCTAATTTTTTGGTGTGATTTCAAACTAGTTTCAACGTTTTCCAACATTTTTTAAAAGTAACCAACGTATTGGAGTATCACTTCCGTTAAGTGCCTACGTGACATTCATGGTCAGACTTTTTTACTGATGTGGACAAATCTCATGAAGCAACCTTTAATGACGTGGCATTCATGATCAAATTAGTCATGACGTGATATTCGTGGTATTTAAAAGAACTATAGATACTAGACTAATTCATCGGTACTTCAGCGCAATTTCCGAGGCATGTCACTACAATTGTTGGTTTCTTAAGTTTGCAATCCAAGTGCAGTTTCAGACAAAAAGAGGTCAGGGTTTCGAAGAAGTATTTTGAGGTTTGGCATCCATCGGGACCTATTTAATAAGCAGAAATCCATGTAGATTTGGAAATTATGAGATTTGTCCACGTTATTAACAAAGGTATTAGGAGAGTCTAAGGGCTTTGCCCCACACCAAAAGGAATCTTGGTGGTGGAATGAGGAGATACAAACAAAGGTGAAGGCTAAGAAGGAATGTTGTAAAGCCTTATACAAGGATAGGACTGATGAAAATGGTGAAAGGTATAGAAAAGCGAAGCAAGAGGCGAAGAAAGCTGTGAGAGAAGCTAAGTTAGCGGCTTACGACGATATGTATAAACGACTAGATACCAAAGAAGGAGTTGGATATCTATAAACTAGCTAGAGCAAGGGAAAAGAAGACAATGGACCTAAACCAAGTGAGGTGCATCAAGGATGAGGATGGAAAGGTTCTTGCTACAGAGAACGCGGTTAAAGACAGATGGAGAGGTTATTTTCATAATCTTTTCAATGAAGGACATGAAAGGAGTGCTTCTTTAGGGGAGTTGAGTAACTCAGAAGAGTGTAGAAACTACTCTTTTTATCGTCGAATCCGGAAGGAATAAGTGGTTGTAGCTTTGAAGAAGATGAAGCATAGAAAAGCAATAGGCCCAGACGATATACCAATCGAAGTGTGGAAAGTTTTAGGAGAGACAGGTATAACATGGCTCACTGACCTTTTCAATAGGATTTTGAAAACGAAGAAGATGTTAAATGAGTGGCGAACGAGCACTTTGGTGCCTATCTACAAGAATAAGGGCGACATACAAAATTGCATGAACTATAGGGGTATTAAGCTAATGAGTCATACAATGAAGCTCTGGGAGAGAGTCATTGAGCATAGATTGAGGCAAGAGACACGGGTTTCGGACAACCAATTCGGGTTCATGCCAGGGCGCTCAACCATGGAGGCAATCTATCTCTTACGAAGATTGATGGAAAGATATAGAGATGGGAAAAAGGATTTACACATGGTCTTTATAGATTTGGAGAAAGCGTATGATAGGGTCCCAAGAGACATTCTTTGGAGGATTTTAGAGAAGAAAGGAGTACGAGTAGCATAGCATATATCCAAGCTATAAAGGATATGTATGAAGGAGCAAAGACTGCCGTAAGAACTCATGAAGGACAAACTGAAAGTTTTCCCATAACTGTAGGATTACATCAAGGCTCATCCTTAAGTCCTTACCTTTTTGCGTTGGTAATGGATGAGTTAACAGGACATATTCAAGATGATATTCCTTGGTGTATGCTTTTCGCAGACGATATAGTGTTGATAGATGAAACTCAGGAAGGGGTAAATGCAAAGCTTAACCTTTGGAGAGAAGAGTTGGAATCTAAAGGTCTTCGCCTAAGCCGATCAAAGACAGAATATATGGAGTGCAAATTCAGTGCAAATGGAGGTCAAAACGAGTTAGGGGTGAGGATCGGAGATCAAGAAATACCAAAGAGCGACCGTTTTCTTTACCTAGGATCTATCTTGCAAAAGAACGGAGAATTAGATGGAGATCTCAACCATAGAATACAAGCTGGATGGATGAAGTGGAAGAGGGCATCCGGCGTGTTGTGTGACCGCCGTATGCCACTGAAGCTCAAGGGAAAATTTTATAGGACAGCAATAAGGCCGGCGATGTTGTATGGCACAGAATGTTGGGTGGTGAAGCATCAACACGTACACAAAATGGGTGTAGCGGAGATGAGGATGCTTCGTTGGATGTGTGGGCACACGAGAAAGGATAAGATTAGGAATGAGGATATCCGGGGTAAAGTAGGAGTAGCCGAAATTGAAGGAAAGATGAGAGAAAATCGGTTACGGTGGTTTGGACATGTGCAAAGAAGGCCTACTGACGCTCCGATTAGAAGATGCGACTATGGGACAGAGGTTCAGGGCCGAAGGGGTAGAGGAAGACCTAGGAAAACTTTGGAAGAGACTCTAAGAAAAGACTTAGAGTACTTGGATTTAACGAAGGACATGACACAGGACCGAGCACAATGGTGTTCTAAGATTCATATAGCCGATCCCACTCAGTGACTTGGATTTTCCAAGTCTCCAACCGAGAAGTTTTCCTCACTCAGGAAATTAAGGGAACACTACCTCAACCTACATGCTTCACTCACAAAGCTTCAACAAAAGAAAATTCAAAGAACTTAGCGAAGAAGGCTTTGGTGTATTTAACACAATACGTTGAAATGAAGGAAATCTTATTTATTGATATCCCCGATAAGCTACAAGTATGTACATATACATAAGTCAAAATAAACAAACAAGAGGGAGCCTTCACAAAGGTTGCTTAGGAGAAGTCTCAGCAGTCGGTAGAGCCCCAGAAAGAGAAGGCACCGGAGGGGGATCATTCGGAGCCTCAGTACTGGACAGAACCCTAGAAGGAGGAGGCATCAGAGGTTGATCATTTGGAGCTTCATTACGCGGTACAGCCCCAGAAGACGAAGGCAATAAATGCCTTTGGAATAAACCCACAAATCTCTGATGATCAAGTAAAACCTGACCATCAGATTCCTTCATCTGGTCAAGCTTCCTCTTCATGTTTGTAGCATAGTCATGTGCGAGCTGGTGCAACTGTTTATTCTCATGCTTGAGCCCTCTAATCTCCTGTTTGAGACTCATCACTTCAGCCGCCAATGATTCAACCTGGCGGGTTCGAGCAAATAGGAGTTGGGCCATATTAGACACAGAACCTGCACACTGAACACTGAGAGCCAGAGAATCCTTAACAGCTAACTCATCAGACTGTTTGGAAAGTAGTCTGTTATCTTTGGGAGTGAGAAGGTTCCTGGCCACCACCGCAGCGGTCATATCATTCTTCATCACGGAATCCCCAACGGTAAGAGGACCAGTAGGGGAGACGAATGATGGACGCCATATGTTGTCAGAAGAAGGCGGGGCTGCCTCTTCAACAAGGTTCAAGTCAAAACGACGGTCGGAGGGGCCAAACATTTTCAAAGGTGTTGAAGAGAGAAGAGGTCGGACAAATCAAGATCTTAGAAGTGCAAGAATGGAGCTTCTACTGGTGGAGATTCAAGTGTGCTTTGGAACTTAATGCTAGCCCCTATAAAAATCTGCACTCGACAGAGCTTCAGAAATCGAAGAGGCGCCTGCTCAGAAATCGAAGAGGCGTTTGCTTTCTCAAAAGCAAGGCTGCTCAGATACCACGAGGGTCGATCTCAGAAATCGAAGAGGCGTTTGCTTTCTCAAAAGCTGGGCTGCGCAAAGACCACGAAGGCCGATCTCAGAAATCGAATAGGCGCTTGCTTTCTCAAAAGCTGGGCTGCTCAGAGACCACGAGGGCCGATCTCAGAAATCGAAGAGGCACCTACTTTTCCAGCCTTGTCAGCACCTGTCACACGCACACTCAGCTTTGCGGAAATTATGGGCATTCGGTCGAAGACTTCTGGTGAAGTAGAAAGCACATGAGTCTTACTGTTCAATCACCCACTTCCCACACGCAACAGTAGCTCATGGGTACCACAGATAACTTTGCCAAAGTTCTCTGCCAAAGTTAAACACGTGAAGCTTGCAGCTCCCACTACATCGCTCTGACCAAGAAGGGTAAAAGAATAGCAAAGAAACAACACTAAACAAAGTTTAGACACATAAAATTTTGAAGGTCTAGCTACCATATTATTACCCACAAGGGTAAAGGAACAGTACCACTGCTGGATAATTGGAAAGTCCCTGTGTGTCAACCTCTGTGCTTCGTGGCAAGGTAGACTAGCAAACATGCCCAACCTTTAATCACATTCGAGAAAACACTCCAAACAAGATTGCTTGCTCCAAAATCGAAGAGGCACCGTCCTCCGAATCTCGAGAGCCAGACTCCCAACATGACTACTTTCTCAAAAATCGAAGAGGCTAAAGGAACAGTACCATTGCTGGATAATTGGAAAGTCCCTGTGTGTCAACCTCTGTGCTTCGTGGCAAGGTAGACTAGCAAACATGCCCAACCTTTACTCACATTCGAGAAAACACTCCCAACAAGATTGCTTGCTCCAAAATCGAAGAGGCACCGCCCTCCGAATCTCGAGAGCCAGACTCTCAACATGATTACTTTCTCAAAAATCGAAGAGACACCGCTCTCCGAATCTCGAGAGCCAGACCCCCAGCATGATTGCTTTCTCAAAAATCGAAGAGGCATCGTTCTCCGAATCTCGAGAGCCAGATCCCCGATAGGATTGCTTGTTCGAAAACCGAAGAGGCAACACTTTCCCAACTTCAAGAGCCGGATCTCCTTGGATAAAGCTGTCTGTAATCTTCACACGCAACATCAGCTTTCTAGATACCATAAACCACTTTTTCAAAGTGCTCTGACAGCGTTAAAACATGTGAAGCTAACAGCTCCCACTACCGTGCTATGACCAAGTAGGGTAAAGGAATAGCATTACTACTTGTTGTTAAGGAGACTCCTATATATGTCGACCTTCATCCCCAACGGACAGGCAGACCTGCAAAAATGCTCAACCCTTCCTCATATCTGAGAGGGCACTCCCAACGAAGCCTTTCGAAATATTCAGCTTTCTTTCCCCCCAATAATACCTCTGCAAACAAGCTATACTAGAGCAAGAATATCTCATATCATCAGGGTTAAAAGCAAGAGTATCTCATATCATGCTTTTTCCCTGTCTTTTCCTTTGACCTTGTTCTTACCTGCAAGACAAGGAGAAAGAGAGCAATCAGTCAATACTTGGAATCAAGCTTCCAGCCAGGAACTGACTGCCTGGAACCCCTTACCTGATTACTTACCTGACATTGCTCTCGAGTACTCATCTTTAACATCTTATGCTTCCAGGGAAGATACCGCATCTGCCTGAGGAACAGATAGGGCAAGGGAGAATGATACAAGGAAGCATGTGGAGACAAGCGTAACAGCACACGTGCCGATACATCCATTACTCTGTCAAAGCAAAAGTATCCCATATCAGCAGGGTCGAACGTACTCTAGATTTGATGGACTTGTTTTGACCCTCAAATTCTTCAGTCGGCCTTATACTCTGGAGGAAACCAGAAAACCCTCCAGCTCAGTTAAAGAATAAGCCTGTGGAAAGTTACTTCTTCAAAAGCAAAAGTATCTCATATCATCTCTTCTCATTTTCTTCTCTTTATCTTTCATGCTGCCTGCAAGATAGGGAGACTGTGAACAATCAGCCGGAGCTATGATTGCTTACCTTGTCTGTCACCTCTTTCAGCAGATCCCCTAGATCGACGACTTGATGGACTCCTACTACATGGTTTGTATCGCGCATGACCAAGCCTGAAACTACAAGTAAGCTTCAAGTGAAATTGATACATTACCTTGTGCATCTCCACCAGTTAAAGATATCACCCCTGGATGGAGGAAGAGTACTTCCAGAGAAGATGCCTCATCTACCTATGAGACAGATAAGGCACGTCAAGACGATACCACACTCCGATACTTAGAAGTTTCGTGATTACGAGATCATTCTCCCACAATATTTCCTAATGTCATTTGTACTAAATCATTCACTTGTACTCACTAAAGGAGAGCTTGAACCTATGTACTTGTGTAAACCCTTCACAATTAATGAGAACTCCTCTATTCCGTGGACGTAGCCAATCTGGGTGAACCACGTACATCTTGTGTTCGCTTTCCTATCTCTATCCATTTATATACTTATCCATACTAATGACCGGAGCAATCTAGCGAAGATCACAAAAAGCGACCGTTTTCGCTACCTAAGATCTATCGTGCAAGAGAACGGAGAATTAGATGGAGATCTCAACCATAGAATACAAGCTGGATGGATGAAGTGTAAGAGTGCATCCGGCGTGTTGTGTTACCGTCATAGGTCACTGAAGCTCAAGGGAAAATTTTATAGGACGACAATAAGGCCAGCGATGTTGTATGGCACAGAATGTTGGGCGGTGAAGCATCAACACGTACAAAAAATGGGTGTGGCGGAGATGAGGATGCTTCGTGGGATGTGTGGGCACACGAGAAAGGATAAGATTGGGAATGAGGATATCTGAGGTAAAGTAGGAGTAGCCGAAATTGAAGGAAAGATGAGAGAAATCGGTTCCGGTGATTTGGACATGTGCAAAGAAGGCCTACTGACGCTCCGGTTCGAAGATGTCACTACTGGACAGAGGTTCAGGGCCGAAGGGGTAGAGGAAGACCTAGGAAAACTTTGGAAGAGACTCTAAGAAAAGACTTAGAGTACTTGGATCTAACGGAGGACATGACACAAAACCGAGCGCAATGACGTTCTAGGATTCATATAGCCGACCCCACTTAGTGGGAAAAGGCTGTTGTTGTTGTTGTTGTTGTCCGCGTTATTAACAAAAATTTGATCATGAATGCCATATAAACACTTGGTTTTCTTAACTTTGGACTTAACGAAAGTGATATTTCTTATATGTTGGTTACTCTTTTGAAATTTTTGAAAAACAAAGAAACTAATTTGGATTCACATAAAAAAATTGGGAGGATTTAGGTATTTAATCCTTTTTTCTTTTAATACGAGTAATATTCTGTATTAACCTTTTAAAATGTGTGTAGATGCTCTAAATTCAGTGCATAGAAGGGAGCAAATCCACTCTACACAATGTGATTATGACCATGTTTGCATGATGAAGTGTCATTTCTCAAAGAATAATTTTTTGGTTGAGCGAATATTTCTTTGACAAAGAGTTGTGAAATATTTGTTCCGCTGCTAACTATATATCCGAATTCAGGTAACTTTCTCGAAGTTTAAATTAGTAGCTGATTTAATAATAAGATTATTTGAACACTTGGCACAGTCCTATTTGTGGACATTAATTGTATCCTTACACACTCGCATTAAATTATTTTTTTCATCGAAAACACACTTAGATTAATGAATTACCTAAATAATATAGGCTTAAACAACAAGAAAAATTTCCTAGGATTATCATTACACTATATATAAAGGAAGTCTCTCCCATAATTCAAAGAAACACGAAACTTGAAAGCCTACCTTCTCAGAAGATATCTGCCTGCATTCTTCAAGAATCAAAACACAAGAAGGTATGTATTATTAATCCTAATCAAGATTATAAAAGGCGCTAGTACAGTGGCGGATAAGAATTAGATTTAAGCGTCATTTCTTAGTTTGTCTAAGGATTTATCAGAATAGCGATAAGCCGCCTAATGTCTAGGCGGGAATTTATACAATGACCCTAAAAGATTAAACATTAGAGTCAATGGGCTGTGATTAACACATTTGTTAAACCTACAAATCAAATTTATTAATTTATACTCATCATTAAGCCCTTGATTATAATATTCTCAACGAAAAAGTCTCACCTTAATTTGTTTATTTTCTTTTTCTTTTGAAAATATTATCTATCCAAGTATAATACAAAGCTAAGACCATATTTGTGGATGCAAATTTTCTCCTCTTCGATCTTGGACGATTTTGCACCTACAAAACAACTAGCACCTTAGGTTAAGGCCAAAAGCCTCACGCGCCCACGATGAATGGGGGGGGCTTTGGCCGAAGAACCTCCGATGCCAAAGTTAGAATTTAGAGAGAAAGAGTGTTTAGAGAATTTTGGGATTTTTGCCAAAGTGTTGGAATTAGCTTTTTGGTGAGAATGGGAGTATATTTATAGGGATAGGAGGTGGCTAGGGTTTTTAGGTTTAATTTAGGTTTAATTTAGGTTTAATTAGCCAATTTATTTGGCTATTAAACATAAGATGAATGTTTTGGTGGTTTTTGAATTTATTGGGTAATAAAAAGGAAGAAATGGTGAAAAAGGTAGAAAAAAGTGATAGATTAGGTTTTGAAATGGGGATAGCCGGCCATGTGGTGTTTTAGGGTTGAATTGGATGTATTTTGTAGTTATTTGGATATAATGGATGGTTTAATTGACAATTAATGGGTTAATTAGGCAATAAACCCATTAATTAGCCAATTAACATAATTTAAAAGGAATGTGTGTTGGGAATTACCTTGTAGAAAGGATTTGATGAGATGGACTTTGAATTGTTACCTATTTTGGGCACTTCTGTCTTGGTTGAAAAATGGTTGCCCGCTGCTTGCGCGTAGGAACCTCGTTGTACTGCAAAGGTATTTTTGTCATTTTTGTCCAAAAATCCACGTGTCGCCATGTGAATATTTTTGGCTCCACAATATCATCGCCACCTTACAATCTGCCTCCAACTCCAATAAAACGACGCTGATTTCTATAACTATACAAACTTTTGAAGATAATTATTAATTTATTATTAATACTAGAAAACCCTAGACGCCCAACAAGTGTAGTTGAGAGCGATTAAAATAAAATTACTTATTTTTAATTAAACTAGCATATGAGAATGCATAAAGTGTGTGAATTTATTTTTTATTTTTTTGTTTTTGAGATAGAAGGAGAGAGGAAGGGAGTGATGGAGAACATGGGAGTGGGAAGTTTTATTTATTTATTTTTTTAATTTTTTTAATAATTAGATATATATTAGGATTACATATAGGTGAGGTTTAAAAAAAAAAGCAAAATTTGGTTGTATGAAATTATATTTTTGCCTCATATTTCTTATTCATGTTATGTTTTAATTAGAGGGTTAAATTGGTAATTTCATAGGATTTTGGTTGATAATTAGTGTTTTATTAATTAGTAGAGATAAACGTGTAAAAAATGAAAAATTTATGCTGAATGTTTAGTAAAAAATGAAAATTTGTGCGGCATGTAATTACTAAATTGTTTATATATTTTTTTAATTTTTCGTGAGAGGGATAGAACAATATTTTTATAGAACTTTGATTGACAAAAAATATTCTATTAATAAGTAGTATGAATTAAAAAAAACTATAAAATAACAAAAAGTAAATTAAAAAAAAATTGAGTGTACCATAGTCGTCCACGTAAACTCACACATTATTATATTCATCGTCACCAGATATTATTAATTTATTATTACGTGTTATAACATAAATAATAATTGACGGTACAATAAATTTCATGATAAGTTTGATTTATTATTCACGGTGATATTCCGAATTAAAAAACTTCTCGAATACCGCAAGCCGTGTATATACATACAAATGATATGTAAGTAACGTATACGAGAGATATATATATTCCTCTCGGCTCCCACTTCCGTTTCTTTCCTTCTCGGCAGCTGCTGCTGAAACAGTTACCCTAGAAAGGCTGCTTCATCCCCTCTCTCTCTCCCCCCCTTTCTCTCTCTAAAGGCTTTATGCGATCATCTGCTCCAGCTAGGCTTTAGAACCTAGCGTCTCCGCCGAGTCAAATCCATTTGAATCGGATTTTCAAGTTGGGGATTTTGTTTTCTTCCGATTTCAATCTGGTAAATTTTCTCACCCTGTACCTAATTTGACCTCCGATTGTAGCTGGATCTGAATGCTTTCGGATTTTTGTCTCGGCTCGATTTTGGTGTTTTGATCGATGAAATTTGGAATTGAGCTGTTAGCTCAATAATGGTGGAATTTGAAAATTTGGGGTTTCTGATTTGTTAGGTAAAGCTGGAAATTGATGTTGGTTTTACTTTTTTGATGTATTTGGATGAGGAAATTAAGGATTTTTGTTTTTGTTGCTTCATTATTCATGTTTGAGCTGGTAGTTTACGATTGGTGGGTAGTTTTGATTGGATTGTAACTATGAGCATGTTTTGGAATTGGGAAAAGCACTAAAAGTGCTTATTTCGATGTCTACAGGATCATAGAAGCGCTTTCTGGAGAAGCACTTGTTAAGTTCTTCTTCGTAAAGCACTTGGATTTTTTCTAACAAAATCATAGTGTTTCTAATAAAAGCACTTCTAACAAAAGCACTTATGAGCACAACTGCATCCTATAAGAGCAGTCCCAAACCAGCCCTATGAATTTGTTCGATATCATAGCTGAACTTTCAAGCCTGTAATCAACTTACAGAGTTTCAGTCCTTGTTATTACACTGTACCTTATGTTTTGGAAAGAAAGAGAAGCAGGTTATTACTTTGTAATTAAAGGAGAAGTACCAGGTTGATGCCGTATGATAATTGACAAAAATGGCCATTGTCTTAGTTATGCGATTGTATGAGGTGCATCCCTATGTTAGTTTTGATTTCTGGTTGTGGAAATAGATTTATGCTGATTTAACGGTCATCTTTGTGTTGTGAGTATTCTTTCTCTTCAATGACATGCGTTGAGGCTTCGTTTGCATCGACATTATCCTTTGTTTGTAATTGTCGTTTCAGTACTCAAAAGTAATACTTTCAAACTATGTAACAAGTTACTTTCAGTGTATTATCTTTTAACGGCCTCTGAGATCTCGGAATTGTGTGCTCATATGCATTTAATCACATGTGGTGTTGGCTTAAATTCTTGAATGTACTTGAAACTTTTCTTTTTGTTTGTTGAATATATGACATTTTTTTTTTTGTAATGTTGTCGTTGCTGCCCGATCTTGGTATGGACTTAAGTTCAACACCATCTGTAGTCTGTAAAGTAGGTGGTTGTTCTCTTACTCATGTTAATGTGGCCTTTTTTCTGTTTCAATAGATCTGCTACTATCATATTGGGAGAGTGTAGGAGTCGGGACAGCGTGAAGCATCTTTGAGAGCTCAAAATGCCTAAGGATAGGAGGGGACGTTCTGTTTCTCGTGATCGGTATAGAGCATCTCCTTATCCATGCAGCTCCAGTCCTACAAGGCGGTTGTTGCCCAAAATTCCTTCAGAAACTGAGGACAATTTGAAAGAATGGGAAGAAGCCAGATGCCCCGTTTGCTTGGAGCATCCACACAATGCTGTTCTCCTAATATGTTCATCCTATGGGAAAGGGTGCCGCCCTTACATGTGTGACACAAGCTACCGCCATTCAAACTGTCTAGACCAGTACTGCAAGTCATTTTCGGCAGAAACCTCACCAACTATCCCACCAGAAGGAGCAACTCAGATTTCAGATACTCAGTTGTCTCCATCTGAAACTCTTGAATCAACAATTACTCAAGTGCAAAATGAGAGTACAATTGAGGATGAGCTCTCCTCCATGAATTCCGTATCTTGTGAGCATCAGGCAGAGCCGAAGCTTGTGTGCCCCCTCTGCCGTGGGGAGATAACAGATTGGATTATTGTGGAGCCTGCTCGTTGTTTCATGAATGCAAAATCAAGAAATTGTTCTTGTGAGACATGTAATTATAACGGAACCTATGCAGATCTCAGGAAGCATGCGAGGCTGGAGCATCCATTAGTGCGCCCATCAGAGGCAGACCCAGAGCGACAGCGTAGCTGGAGGAGTTTGGAGCGGCAGAGGGATATTGCTGACCTGTTCAGCTCAATCCAATCTTCAGTTGGAGAGGATAGGGGTGATGATAGCAGTAGTTTGCCGGCTGATGACGGTGCGGGCTGGCTAACCATATTCTTTCTAGTTAGAGTAGTTCGACCTGGGTCCAGTTCGAGGAGCAGCAGCTGGTATGGAACCACAAGAACCAGAGCACAAGTTAGTATGAGAAGGAGAGCAAACAGACTATGGGGGGAGAGCTACGAGGGCGAAGCTGCATCTTCAACCGTAGAAGAGGATAACGAGTCTTCAGACGGTGACTCAGGTGTTAGGAGGCGCAGTGCGCGCCTCAGGCGACGGACAACACCAGACAACAACCAGCCATGATTGCATACGTTTGCGAGATCAGTGAATCTGTTTCTTTTCCATCGTCCTTGTTTTCCCGAAAGGTTTGAAAGTAAGTTTGGTCCAATTCTGTGTTCAGCAGCTTTCAGTAGCTTACTGATTGTTCTTCCTTCACATTCTGTAAACGAACCAAAGATTATAAATATGATGCTGAGAGATATATTGAAGAAATGTATTTATGTGTTTATTTCGCAGGACATTGCGTATTTGTAATTTTTCTCCGGCAATTAATGAGAGTACCTCTTCGTACCGCGAGAGATTTACATGAAACGGGATGATATTTCTAACTAATCATGTGTCTGCTACGTCTTTTAGCTGTTTCATAGGAGAGGAATTTATTACGTAACGTTTTCGATTCAGTCTAAGGTTTTTTCTTGCAAGTTTTATGCTGAATAGTAGAAGTGCTTTTACAGAAGCAATTCAAAAATTAGAAAAAAATGCAGAGTGGTCTCCCGGTCCTATACTCGTGCTGTACCATTACGTGAACCGGGTCCCGTTTTCTGTTTTCCAATCATTATTTTAATTTAATTGTCTTGTTGCAGTCAAAGGACGAAGGTGCCACTTCCTTTACTCAATTACCCCACGTGACCACCCTTGAGCAAATAAAACATCTCGCGAGAAAGCGCTCCAAAATTTCGCGCTATTCCTCAAACGCTGTCCGCGAAATTCAGTCCGTCAAACAACAACAACCAAAGAGTTTCCCATAAAAAAAAAAAAAAAAAAAAAAAACAACAACGACAACCAAAGTGGTTCACAAAAAAGCCATATGTCCAAATTTTTAAAAGTTCAAAAAATTACAGCTTCATGCTGTTGCTATTTCGAAAAAATTAAAATAAGAGTAAATTATATAGTAGCCATTTAAGTTTGAAGTCTATTACAATCTTATACAACATCTTTAAAACATTTCACTTTCATACCTCACGTATTATTTTATTTCAAAATACATCCGTTACATTTTCTATTCATTGATTTGTTAAGTGCTGACGTGACTGCCACATTTATGCCACGTGACCGCCAAATGTGTGCCACATGGTAAAAAATAAAATTTTTTTAATTTAAAAAAAAAACCTTAATCTTCTAAAAAAAAAGAGAAAATCCAGATCCCATCACCCCACCTCCATGAACCTTGAACAAAAAAACAAAAAAAACAAAAAAAAACCAGAAAACTCAGTTCCCACCGACACACCCTCCCCCCATATCCCATCAACCCCCCTAGCCAAAGTCCATATCTCACCACCCCCCCCCCCCCCCGCTAAAAAAAAAACAAAATAATCTTCCATCCGTCTTCTGCACCTATCCTCCTCCCCTGCGCCCATCTCCACCTCATCCGCGCACCCATCTTCCCATCTTCTCCCCCCCCGGGCCCCCCAACCTAAGCCCAACCTGCAACCCATAAAGAAGAGAAAAAAAAAACCCCAGCGCACTCACCCTTGCACGCATCCTCTTCCCTCCTCTACCCACCCTACTCATTAAATCCCCACTCATTGGGGAAGACGAATTCTGGGTTTCAAGGAAAAGGAGATGGGTTTTTTTTTTGTTTTTTCTTTTTCTTTTTTGGGTTGGAGGTAATGGGTGCGGAGGAGGAAGTGGAGGATGGGGTGCACGATGGGTTTGGGGAAGACGGGAGGGGGAAGAAAGGGATGGGTTGCAAGGAAGGGGGTTGGGGAAGATGAAGATGGGTTTTTTTGTTTTTTAAATTTAGAAGATTCAGGTTTTTAAAAAAAAAAATTATTTTTTTTGCCATGTGTCACACATTTGGCAACCACTTCATCACTTAACAGATTAATCGATGGAAAATGTAACAGATGTATTATTTTGAAATAAAATAGTACGTGAGGTATGCAATTGAAATGTTTTAAAGATGTTGTATGAGGTTATAATAGATCTCAAACCTGAGGGACTACTATGTAATTTACCCTTAAAATAAAGTGTATTTACTTAATAAAAAGTTAGGCCGTTGTTGGCTTTTTTGAGCCACCCTCTAATTGCCCGACGAATAACTTTTATATGGTATTGGACAAGTTAGTCGTTAATTTCATACCTTTGTATGTGTTTCTATAGGTATATATTGATAGGTACAATCGGCATATCTGCATTTGCAGTATCATTGCTCAAAAGCTATTGACATCAATAAACATACTTATTTGGAAGTTGTTTGCATATGTTGACAAGTGTGCAGTACGACTTGACAAACAACCTCATGCTTACTAAAGGCTTGATGAAATGTCAATTTGCATGCTACTTTGTCTAAAATATTTTGCGCCCTATTCTTACTAACATCCCAATATGTTTTTTGGATCCTCCATTGTCTAGAAGAAAAAATACATGAATCATATAAAATGATTTCAGTAGTTTATCGTCATCTAACTTCAATCAATACGTCATAATAACATTGAACCAATTCTATCTTTTAGATCTATCTTCTCGAAGTAAATGTCATCTATTACTATTATAACATGATTTTTAATGATACTTTCGCGTATCAGGTATTACGAAATCTTTAACCATTAAATCTTTAAAAAAAACTATGAAAATTAAAATGTGACAGGACAAAATGTCTGGAGTATAAAGTATTCCGAACACCGTGGAAATTTAGTGTTGTGAACGTGTGAAATAGTATAAACGCCAGTCATACAGATTTCTCCACCTTGTCATCGCCCACGATGTCTTTCCATTTTTGAAATTAAACTTTTTTTGTTTATATTTATTTTTCGTTTTAATTTATTCATCCAAAGTCCCAAAGCTTTCTATATTTTTCCTCATCTCGCCGGAAGACGGATCTCTGAACTGAAGGTGTCGCATTTAACATTCTCTCTGTCTCTCCGACGGACTGAGAAGGGGAGGAGAAGAACAAAGAAGCAAAATTGGAAATCTTTGTGGGAGCTTTTTCAGAAATTCGAAAAGAATTGGGGGTAAAAATGGGGTCGGAGAGCACCTCTCAACGCGGCGGCGGGGTTGAAAACAACCGCAAGGGCTACGAGACTCAGGTGGTGTTGAATGTCTACGACCTCACCCCCCTCAATAATTACACCGTCTGGTTCGGTCTCGGAATCTTTCACTCCGGTATTGAAGGTAAAATTTTTAGGACCCTTTCGAATCCTTTCCCTTTTTTTTCTTTTTTTTTTTTTTGAAAATTCTGAAAATTGTTTCCTTTTTGTTTGATTTTTCGTTTTTTATGTGTTTTGGTGATCTGGGTATCTTTCAATTTTGGTTTTCTCTATTGGATTTCTTTAGTTAATTTTTGGATTCGTTTGTTTCCTTTTCTGGCCATGCTTAATTACGATGGATATGCATTTATGCTCATTGTTTATGTGTTTAAAGATTGGTTTTTGAAGTAAAAAAAAAAAAGTTTGGCACTTTCAATACTTACATGGAGAAGGAAGGATGCCGGGTTTCGGATTTGTTTGATTCTTATTTGCAGTTTTGAAGTATGAATGTGCTTACATATTTGAAGTGTAGTTGTATTGTGTTATGTTATTGAGTACTTTGGCTTCTTTTGCATCCAATAGTAGTTAGATGTGTAGCAACATGAATTGAAAGGTTTGCACCGGGATCTAGAGCGATGCTGTTGTATACCATTTCGTATGGTGCAATGGTGATCAAGTTTTACAATGTGAAATGAATTGGTCAGCTTTTTTGTTCCTTTATGCTTGGTTATGAAGAACTGCTAATCGGAATGTGATGCATATCGTGGTGTGTAGGTATTATGTATGAGTCCCAGTTGACTCTATGTATTATTGTACCGCTACCTTCTTCTGCCACGTGACGATCCTGGGCGTATCTCAGGATTAGGGGAGGTATTAGAGATAGATTTCTCGATGTGTTTGGAGATATTTTTCTGGTTGATTGAGTTTGGATATTGTGTTATTATAAGCTTCTATGAGAGTTGTTTTACAAATTGAACCGAATCTTGAATCAACCTTTCTGGAAATTGCACTGACCAATGAGTGACTTCGTTTAGTTGTCGTTCATTTCCTTGAGATGCAAATAAGGAGCAATTATGTTTAACGATATCATCTGTCTGTTGGATGAACAGTCCATGGCAAAGAGTACGGTTTTGGAGCCCATGACTTCCCAGTTAGCGGAGTTTTTGAAGTGGAACCAAGGAGCTGCCCAGGTTTTATTTATCGATGTTCCATTCAACTTGGTCGCATAAATATGCCTCCCTCTGAATTTCGGACATTTATTGAGAATGTTGCGGCAGAGTATCATGGGGATACCTATCATCTCATCACCAAGAATTGCAACCATTTCACAGATGAGATAGCATATAGGTTGACAGAAAAACGGATTCCTGGATGGGTGAATCGGCTTGCTCGTCTAGGTAAAGAGAACTTTCTACTGACTATTCTAGTAGTTCTATATTTCATTGGTATGTGTTAGCTGGAACTCATTTATGTTTGCAATCATTTTTAATTGATTTAGTCTGTGATATAAATCTTTGAGATGAATGTAATTACCGCATGAAATAGTTTCTTTTCTTGCTCAGGTAGGACTGTATGAATGTCCTTTAAAACCTCAAAATCAAAATCATATCATTTGTGAGGGTTGGATTTAGATGCTTTGATTTGTGTCTTCATCTTCTTATGTAATATTCTGCGTATTATTTATGTGCTGCCCTTTACTTCTCAAGGTGATTGGTAATTCTCGGAGACGTGCAATCACAAATGAGTTGATTTATTTCTCGAAGTGTTTTTAAGTCCATGTTTTCATTGTAATTTCAGGTGCCTTATGCAGTTGTCTTCTCCCCGAAAGCCTTCAAGTGACCACTGTTAAACAAATACCTGAGTACCATCACGAGTCAGGTGAGTTCCCTCGACTATTTTCAACTCAGTATTATAGTGTCTGTATTCAGTGTGCTGATTATAGTTGTTACACCACTAACGTTCTTTCTGGGTCCAGAAGATGGTACTGAAACTCTATCAATCACAATGCCTCGTGAGTCAGGGGAAGTTGATGACGATCAAGAAAAACGCCTGCTGTCCCCACTGGCTTCACTTTCACCGGTGGCGGGAAGTGGAGATGTAACTTTTGTTAAAGAGGCTCAAAAGTGAAACAAACCCTCGACTTTTGCAAATAGAGGAAGTAGTCGCCCTTCGGAAAAAGAGCGGTTTGGCCAGTTATTGGTGTGCCTGTCATTGTTATGGATGGCTTACTTGGATGGAAAGTACGTGCACCTCTTTTCCGAAAGAAAGCCTCAATTGTATTCATTATCTGTGCGCACAAGCGTTCAACTAGACGCATGTTTTTCTACTATTTTGGCTATTTTTTATTTAATTTTTTCAACGGAGGAATCCGAAATTAGGTCATAGTTTGGTATGATTTGTGATTTGTGCATGAGGGAAGGGAACTGTTTTTGCAAGTGGAAACGAATCTGAGTGTTTTGGTCTTTGATTTCTTCTGTAATTTTTCAAATGTTGGAATGATGCTACAAATTGTTTCATTTTGTCTCGCAAGAGTACTCATCCGCCGAGTTCAGATTTAATTTCTTCTGTAGTTTGACACATACGCAGAAATAACTCGACACGAAATTGCAATCTCAGGCACTTAAGAGGAATATCGACACATACGACATGTTCATAATTCGAATAATGAATGTCAGTTACACACGAATATCGAATTAACCAGCGTCACCAGCCAAATATAACCAGGACATATGGGTTGTGCTAAACACTTGAAATTATTGTTTGCTACATATTTCCCTTCTGCTTCCTCTTCCTTTGCCGTCACTCGAGTTTTTCACGGGCGTACTACGAAGAAGTCCCGTCAAGCCCCAACTTTGATCTTAGCCAAGCACAAACCTCGTCCATCTCTTCCGGAATTGTATAATGACCAAGCCTGCATGTACTCAAACAAATCATTCTTGTATTTCGTTGTCTCGATAAATTTATATGCAACAACTTTTCGACATAATCTAAGAACTACATACGCGTTATAGGATTTGAATGTCACGTCCTGAAAGCCATTGGACCTTAAGGACTGCGACGATTTCTCACCAAACTTGTAAGAAACCACATCATCACCTGCAATAAATCATATCCACAGCATTATGAACTAGGCCCGGCTTAGGATTTAAACCACAGAGCACCTACGCAAGAAGATGCTAGAGACAAGGATGCAACAAAACCTTTTCTTCGGTGAAGATAAATTTAAAAGACAAATAAAATGAGCAACATCTTTATAGTAGAGATAATCATATGCATACGTTTCCCATGACATAACAAAAGCGGAATGGAGGCAGCACGCCTTGCAGCGTCATCTACTTCTTCTAACTTCTTACTCAAGGTCCTGAAAGAGAATAGGGTTTGTAACTATAGGCACTTAAATACACTGCAAAAACAATCCAGCCGAGATAAGGAGTGTGAGAGGACAAACTTGGAACATGGAAGCCATCCGCTTAGTCCAACAACCGCACTCAGATTGCATGGGTATTGATTACCATTCCCATATTTTCTTGTAGAAAAGCAGGTCGCAGAGTATAGGGCAGTAGCTGCACCCATACTAAACCCTCCAACTCCAAGTTTAACTGTAACAGAGAAAGTTTGAAAGCGTCTATGGTATTAGAATCATGGCATTAACAGAGTTTTGTAGACGAGACATCCTGCATAGAGTTTACTTTGAAAAAACGCTACTCATAGTTTACAAGCTCGTCTTTTCAAAACATCTCATCAATCAAGAGGGGCAATGAAATTCTGAGCATCCGTGCAGAAAAAATAAAAAAAATGATAGCAGCAATTGGAGTTCATCAAATGCTAAAATCGAACAAGAAGAAACCTACTGTCATCAGGCTCTGTTGATAACAAATTTGCAACATGTGCTGCAGAAGCATCCAAACCCTCTACATCATCCGGAGCATCTTCTGAAAGTTCTCCAACATCAAACCCTGTTTATATCACATAATCACTTTAGCGGAGTTTATGACCTTCGATTCACCAAAAACCGAATGACATTTTCTTTTTCTGTGACTATAATCAGACCAACTGCTGAAGATACATTAATGTATTATTAATGAAAAAAATACTTACAAGCAGTCGAAGGAAAGCCACCAAAAATCGAAATTGGTTGAGTAGGAGCAGTTGGACAAATCCACTTAATCTGCATCGCATAATTATCACCATAAGTTATGATAGTAAACTATGAAAATTCAATTTCCAAAAGTTTGGACGTATTTATTCTTACATTTGGAAGAGGGAGGGATTCCAAGAGCTGGGACCAGCTGTCAGACAGAAAAATATAAATCTTAAACAAAAATTTAAGACTTCAAGTGCATTGTGCATACGTATAAAGAAAAAAGGATAATTATAATTTCTAAAGACCACATGATTCTCTAGTTTTAATTCGCAAAAAAAAATTTAAAAAAAAATACTATTCTCTTTTATGAAGGAACTTTGAAATTAATAAAAAGTCATTTAAATGAAAAACTTCCTCGGTTACTATGCAACCTTCAAAAAATTGGTAACATAAGCAATGAGGCCAAAGTATCACCTGGAACCATTATCGCCAAGGCCATGTAGCCAAACTACGGTGGCCTGGTGTTTGCCTTTAGGTCTGACTACATAGGTTCTTCCAAACTCAACCGCCCTTCTAGCAGTCCTACCACCTAAAATCATGATACAATCAATATAATGAGAAAGGTGCAAATAACAGAACCAATGAAACCTGAGGCAAATTGATAAGTATGAAAGATAGCCCAAAATTGTCAACAAGGAAAATTGAAGAACCATAAAGCATGAGTGATCTCTTCGTTCCTTTGCTAGAATATTTTACAAATTTTTATAAAAGCATAGGATAAGTTTTCTTATTTTTGCTAGCTCTTAGATGGTGGATTGAGTAATAGTTTGGTTTAAGAATAAATGGGATCCTAGTCACATGCTTCTAGCTCATAGGATATACGAGTTGACTCGAACACGGCATCATTAGTAGACAGGTCCAGTTGGTGTCAAGTCGTTTGACACGATCAATTAAATTGGTAGGGTTAAGGTCAACAATCCTTTGACACAAGCAGAAAATTACACGACTCAGTGACCACTCATGGATATGGCAATCAGTATCAAAACTTCTTCACTAAATAATAGCTACGCAAAGAAAGGCAAACAAACTAACCAGAGCCAACAGAGGGACCAGTAGAGCTCATATTTGGTCCCTCAAGTAAATACCACTGACCAAACTCCTATGCAGCAAGTGTACAGAGCACAGATCCTGCAATGAAGAAACACCAAAAAATTCATATTAGCCGGCTTCTTTGTGGAGGGCTCCTAAAATTGCTTATTGATAAGCTTTACAACGAAACCCTAATGTTAAAAACATATAAAGTACACATAGTTAACATGTTGGAGCAACTCCGATAGCTCAAACAAGCAGTTGCATAAAATTACTTTGACAATGCTAGCAGACATTCATTATAGATTTCCATCTGTACCTAGATTTGCCACTGGCTTCTCTCTCGTGGCAAGGTTTTTTATCGTAAGTAGAAGCAGGCCGGACGAGGCTAAGGCTAACTTCCCTCCCCCGACCAATCATACGGCATCTTCCTCACCCTATCAAGTACGCGAATAACCCTAATCTGATCCGAACAACACTAACACAACCCCATTCGAACAATAACAACTCAGGGGTTCTGCATTTAGGAGTTTTGGTCTTCCCAAATGCCAAACAGATACACATGAGCCATAGGCTGCTTCAATCAATCTTTTCAACCATTCGGGCTAAAAAATCCTAAAATAACAAGAAAAATTGCATCTTTAACACTGTTCCGAACACCCCTTAATCCAGAAACCAAAAATAAAAAATTCCCAAAACAGAAAAACTAGAATCGTTACAAAAATTTGTAATATTTACCATAAATCCAGCAGAAACAATCCAAAAAATACAATTAAAAGTACAAAACAAAAATCCCAGAACTCAAAAATTAAAGCTTGGCTACTACAAAACAGCAAAACAGAAACCAGAAATGATGTAGAAGCATAAATACTGAATTTTTAAAATTAAGTTAAGCAAATTAAATAAAATTAGATAAAATTGAGCAGAAAATAAAATTGGGCTTTAGGGTTTTACGCCATTGATGCAGAGTCAGTTCATACCTCAAACAAGCCTTAGACGCTGTCTCCTTCCTCTTGCTTCCCCCATATATGTTCACCTCATGTTTCCTGTCGTTTGATGTACTGTCGTTTTGCGTCGAAGAATAAAATGATGAAAAAAATCTCATCCGTCGATCTAGGTAACACCATCGATGCGTGCCACGTGTCTCTGAAATAATAAGAGTTGAAAAGAAAATTCCAGAATCATATTTTTAAAAGAAAACCAATGAAAATGATTTAAAAATTTTAAATTTTTAACGAAAATGACAAAATAAATGGTAAAATAAATAGTACCATGATTGATCTTTTAATGTAAAAATATGGTTTTTCGTTAACCTGAACAGTACCATAAATTTTTCTTTAAAATAAATCGTACCGAGAACTTTTCGTTAAATTTCATTGCTTTAAAGTACTAAAAAATATTTTTTAAATTCAATCTTTAGAAAAAACACTAAAAATACTTTCTAAAAAAACACATTATTGATCGAAATCTTTTAATAATTTTAAAAACAATTTCGAACGAGTACACAACATACTTTTGAGACTAGAAATTGCTGGACATTGGTCCTATATCTCAGTGCGATTATTTGCTATGCTGGTCCCACTTTCTTCATCTCATCTTGCCGTTTGACCAAATACCCTTATAATTTACTCATATTTCAAAATCATGGGTCCCCATGTTGCTTAATATTGTTGTCTAATAATCTTTCTCATTATTGTCACTTAGTACTACGATCTAGTAGTTTTCTCTTTACTTCTAAGTAAGATGTTTTAGATTTGGTTATCGTCAAAGACGAATTTGAACCACATTATTGCTAGTCTATTGTGAGGCTAAGCCCCACTCCCTTTCTTTAGCGTAAATAATATTATTTGTTATCGTAATTAGAGAGTTTAGCCCGCTTGACGGTATAAAATAAGTTAAACACGAAACTTGATTTCAAAGGTAAGTTACATGTCACAATAATTTTCAAAGGATTTCAAAGGACAATACAATAAATATTATTCATGAAGGGATGAGATATGAATTTGAATATCCACAAATTAAGAAGCAACCAATCAATCATGTTCATGGGTCTATCTTGGGGCTATCATGGACATTGCATTTCCATATGAACATGTTGATGTGGATGCATCATTGCTCTCTACTTCTTGTGTTGCCAAGGCTGCACTACCAATCTTTGCCCTCTTGTTGCCGTCATTCGTCTCGTCGTCCATCGCCAAAAAATCAACAACCACCATTTGGGTGTCGGGAGGCTCCTCCACGGGCGTCCGGCCCTCAAGCATCTCCACCACATGTGACATGGTAGGCCTAAGCCTAGCCCTCTCTTGTACGCACCATAGAGCTATATGAACAAGTTTTTTTACCTCCCTTTCGTCAACGCGTCCACTTTCGATCAGCCTTTGATCAACAACTTCCATAAGCTTACCTTCTCCCATTTTCTCGATCACAATTTTGGGAAAATACTCCCCTTTCCTCTGGGACTTGTTGGTGGCATTGCCCTTTTCGACGAAGCTAATGTTTCTCCGCCCTCCGATCATCTCAAGAAGCACCATTCCGTAACTGTACACATCTGTTTTTTCGGAAATTCCATGCTCCAAGAGCCACTCAGGAGCCAAGTAGCCCCTGGTCCCCCGAATCGTGATCATGATTCTACTCTCGTCTTTTCCCATTAACTTCGAAAGGCCAAAATCCGCGACAATTGCTCTGTAATTCTCGTCCAAAAGGATGTTCTCTGGCTTCACATCAAGGTGCAAAATCCTTGACCTGCAATCACGATGCAGGTAAGAAAGCGCTCTAGCAACGTCAACTGCAACCCTGTACCTTGTGTCCCAAGGCAAGCACCCCCCACGTCGATTAGGCCTTCCCTTCTGAGAGAAAATCCAAGAATCCAACGATCCATTTGGGATGAAATCATAAACCAAGAATCGTGGTCCTGCAGGAACACAACAATACCCGAGAAGGCGCACAAGATTGATATGTTGCAGGCTTGTAATCGCCGCAACTTCTGACCTGAACTCCCTCTCGCCGCGCTCCTCTACATCGAGCTTTTTCACTGCCACTTGAGTCCCATCACTTAGGATCCCTTTGTAAACAGAAGCTGAAGCCCCTTTCCCAAGCAATGCCTTGAAATGATCTGTTGCATCCTCTATCTCCTTGTACCTAAACTTCGTGGGAACCCCCGCAACTTTTCGAAGAAAACTATACTCCATGCGAAGTTCCTTTCCTTCTGACGCGTATTTTGATTCCAAGAGCTTTCTCCGGCAATTGTAATGGTGTCTGATCGCTAGCCATACAAACACAGCAAGGATCACAGCAACACCTGCCCCGCAAATGAGGAAGAAAGTTGGCGAAAGTTTGAGAGTGATTCGCGCAACGAGTATAAAAACAACGAGCGCGATGATCGACGATGAAGCTACTATGTTAGCTTTTCTGTCCTTCATTGCAAAAGCTTCATCCTTGTTTTCGGATAAAGAGAGAGAGAAGGAGCTTCTGAGCTTTTGACATGATTCATAATCTTTTTGTGAACAACCACCATAGTTTTATACTTTTGAACAATTCATTATTTAATAAGAAGTCACCTAATATTTTGTTTAATAATTGATATTAATCGTAAATCTAATATTATAAGGGTTTTATCTGTTCGATTTTGAGCGAGTCTTGGCGCAACAGAAATGTTGCTCTTTTGTACCTGAAATGTCACATGTTCGAGTCATGGAAACAGTCTCTTTGCAAAGTAAGGGTAAGACTGCGTACGATAAATATTGTCCTGACCCTCGCAAGTTTGGGGCGCCCTTTATCTGGTCAATTATTTAGAAATATATATTTTCTGCAGAAAATTAAATCTCTTTCTGAAATCAAATGGCCATTCACACCTATAATATCCCATTATAATGCTAAGAATGACCTTAACTTTTACTCGTCAACCTTTTGGGCAAACATTCATGAATCCGCATTGCTTACACGACTTGATGAAACACCGCCCTTCGTTAAACATGTTTAGCTAGTTCTTTTCTGCTGCATTATAATTCATTGGACAAGGATTGTCTGCCCGCCTAGTTGTGGTGCCCTTCCATGCCCTCCTATTTTGTGCGGTCACGGTTAAGCCACATCAATATTTTATATTAATTTTTTAATGAGATAATAAGACAAAAAATAATAAAAATATAAAATATTTAGGTGGCTTAACCGTGACCGCACAAAATAGGATGGTATGGAAGGGCACCACAACTAGGAGGGCAGACAATCCAAGTCCTAATTGATTTGTGGGATTTGGAAAAAGCCAATTACCATATGAAAGACGATGAACCGAACAATAATCTGACCTAGTCATCGACCATAAACAAATGTTAATTAGTTTAAATATATATATTGACTGATTCAATCCCTTAAGCTAAAGATAAGTGTTAATTACCATATGAAAGACGATGAACCGAACAATAATCTGACCTAATCATAATCTGACCTAGTCATCGACCATAAACAAATGTTAATTAGTTTAAATATATATATTGACTGATTCAATCCCTTAAGCTAAAGACAAGTGGTTTAACCCCTTGATTGCACTTTAAACAAAGTTTTTCCTTGATTAACACTGACAGAATTCGTATTATATTCGAGTTCTTGACAAAATCGGAGATTGCAAGACCGAGTCCGGGGTATGATTAATTTTAGATTCAGGGAATCAGCAAAACATTACAGATAATGAAGAAACCTAAACAGTTCTTGTTTTGTTGTTGCAGCTAATTAATCGGGATTAACGGGAGGTTTAGACACTAAACAACAATGTGCAATGTGACAAGAACTTCCAACTATTTGGATTCATGTGACGTTGCATAGATTCTTTTGTAGGCCCCCTGTTTTGTTGTTGCAAACAAAACCATAGAAACCAACGGCTCAATTCTACTTGTTGAAATGATGGGAAGAAAGGGAGTGTGGGGGAGAGATTTGTGTATAAATACGACCTGATACACTATGTATAATAATACAATTGGTTGGAAACTTAAAATTTTAAACCAAATATATCATGACACTTAGTGTACTGGGCCGTAGTTCTAGCCGATTGAAAATTTTCTTAGAGAAGGAAAAAGCAGAGAGCTTGAGTGAGGTGGATAAAACACAATGCATGTTGTTTTTCCCTTCGTTACATTGGAGAGGTTTGAACTCGACTTATCATAATTCAAAATTTCAAATTCATTATTCTCCACTCTCTCACGACTTACGCTTCTATGCTATAATAATTATTATGATTGATTGAATAGTGTTAGGGAGACCATACTTATATATAATACCTATCATACCATTTTCTGATAGATGCATAAGTCTATTAATACAAGTAGGTCGCACATCTTTTAACAAAATGATAGATATAAGACACATAAATATGGTCTCTCTATGACCCCATTAGCTCATCCTATTGGCCCTACTTAAAAAAATACAAAGAATTGAACAACCTTAATCTTTTTCTCTTTCCTCAAAGATCCGAATTTCTTAACTTCGGACTTCAAATACAGAGATCTAGAGCAAATCTCATTCCTAAAAATGTGATGGCCCTAACATGGTCGAATAATAAAATAGACGAATAAAAAGAAAAGCTTTCCACTATAGTAGTTTATTAATAAGAAAATGCAAGTGGCAAGCTGAATGGTGAATAGAGAGCAGCTGGAGGCAAAAGGACCCCATTGCTACATCGATGTTGCCCTAAAACCCTAATACCAAAAGCCCTGCCCCCCCCCCCCCTCCTCCTCTCTCTGTGTCTCTTCCCCGAGTGAGAGAGGATTTCATTGATCACTACCAGTCCGCCACCACCATTTCCTACACTAGCTACATGGGGAGCCACAGAAACGGCGGCCGTGGCGGGGACCAGAGCGGCACCAGCAATGGCGACGCTGGCGGCGCCCCCGTGGACAAAGGCGTCGACTTCGCCAACTACTTCTGCACCTACGCCTTCCTCTACCACCAGAAGGAGATGCTCTCTGATCGAGTCCGCATGGACGCTTACTACAACGCCGTTTTCAAGAACAAGCACCACTTCCATGGCAAGGTACAACATCTCATGAGCTCACTACTTAATTACTCTTTTGCCCCCTGTTTCATTGCTCTAAGAACCGAAAAGAACGAAACTTTACTTGAAAAAGCTATAAATTTTACCATTTGTTGTTATGCTGTAAAATATTTGGGATTAATTTGGTTTTAAGGCCGGAAAGAACGAAAATTTACTGAAAAAAGCTGTATTTTAAACTCGGCTTTGCTTTGAAGTAGATATTTGTTTCTTTGGAATGTGAGAATTTTGTCAAACTGTTGAAGAATTGGGATTAATTTGGTTTTTTGAACCGAAAAGAACGAAGCTTTGCTGAAAATGGTGTATCTGTTACTCACCTTTGCTATGTAGTAGGCATTTGTTTCTTAGGAATGTGAGAATTTGTTGTGCTATCGATAATTTGGGATTAATTGGGATTAATTTGGTTTAATTGTGGAGCAGGCTGTGTTGGATGTGGGAGCAGGGAGTGGCATTCTCGCAATTTGGTCAGCGCAAGCTGGGGCGAGGAAGGTTTATGCCGTTGAAGCAACTTCCATGGCCGAACATGCACGTGCAGTTGTAAAAGCGAATAACCTTCAGGACGTGGTTGAGGTGATTGAGGGCTCCATGGAGGATGTTGTCCTGCCAGAGAAAGGTTTGGCATTGTTGAAAAATTTGACAATTTTAGTTTAGTAATGTTGTTTTGATTACTGTCATGCTTATGTGATTCTGTACTGGTGCACAGTGGACGTGATCATTTCTGAGTGGATGGGGTATTTCCTGCTGCGTGAATCGATGTTTGATTCAGTGATATGTGCACGTGACCGGTGGTTAAAGCCAACTGGAGTCATGTAAGTATTCCTAGCATTTACATCAGATGTTGCAAGCACACACTTCCATAATTGGTACTTTGTGTCTGTAGTCTAAAGTTTGGTGAATTTTGTTCTACTGAGTACTGATAAAGATCTGTATTTTTCTGAAACTCAACACTTGCATCTGTTAATAAGTCATCAGAATGCATCCCCATATGACAAGATTATATGAGTACTTGTCGGAAAGCTTTCATGTCTTTTCAAAATGTGGTAATTTGTCTTTTCGAACTATGCTTTCGCCAATTCTTTATCTCCTTGTTATTGGTCCTTAGATTTGAGTCGTGGAGTTTGCTTGTAATCAGTATTGTCTGTTGGAGACAGGGAAATTTATCTTGACCCGTTCTAGTTTTATTATGTTAATTAGGCAATCCTCAAATTGTTTACAGAATATTTTAGATTATAACTCAGGATGAATTTTTGGTTTCACAGGTATCCTAGCCATGCTACTATGTGGGTGGCACCTATTAGGACTGGATTGGGAGATCAAAAAAATAATGATTATGATTCATCTATGGACGATTGGGAACGTTTCACAGATGAGACAAAAAATTATTATGGTGTTGATATGAGTGTTCTAACAAAGCCTTTCTCGCAAGAGCAGAAGAAATACTATCTTCAGGTAATTTCTATAATTATAATGTGTTTAAATCATCTTAGTCTGTTTGATAGACTTGTATTTTATGTTGTACATTGTTGTGCGATGTTCATCCAGGCAGAGTCTCTGTATACTGTATATATAGTTATAGTCGGGCTTGTCAATTAATGCATGCTCCTTCCGGTGTCCAACATCTTGAACTGCATGCTATGAAATTTCTGCAGACATCATTGTGGAACAACCTTCATCCACATCAAGTTATAGGGACAGCTGCTTCAATAAAGGAGATTGATTGTTTAACTGCCTCAGTCAGTGACATCCTCGAAGTCAATTCGAACTTTTCGTCAACAGTAACTCTTCAGAACACAAGGCTCTGCGGGTACGGGGGATGGTTTGATGTTCAATTTCGAGTAAGTTGATCTTTGCATCCCTTTATCTTGTAGATTGAAAACACTATTCAATATTTTCATGCTCAATGTAACATGAAACTTATCCTCATCTGGCATACCAGGGAAGAAAGGAGGATCCAGCTCAGGAAGAGGTCGAGTTGACTACTGCTCCTAGTGTGGACGATAGCACTCACTGGGGCCAACAGGTTATTCTGCCAAAAATCTTTTCCTCATATTTTTGTAATTGTCTAAATCAATATGCCGTTGTGCGATATCGTAGGAAGATGTATGTATTTCTATAAGATAACATATCAACTTTGCAAAGCTTTACTTCATCTATCTGTATCACCGTTAGTGTAGTTTTGTGTAATTAGGGCCCAGAGAATTCGTGTATTGACATGCCACTGAATAAGTAGAACATCGCACCTAACTTCGTGTTGCCGGTGCACTACTATTCATGATGTCTTTTCAACTGTTCTCTTCACTTATACATAGGCACACTTACCGGAACCAAATAATGAGCAAAGGCATGAAAAACTTATGTGGAGCATGTAGATAGATTTTACCAACATTTAGCTTCTATGGAATATTCTTTGACGTAAAGTTTCCGTTACCATGTTCTAGGCAATCCAATAAGAAATTGATTTCTTGCTCGCATCTTTGATTACAGCATCTAATTTCTTCCATGCTTGTCCCCCTTGTTTATTGAACAGGTTTTCCTGTTGAACCCTCCGGCTCGCATCACTGAAGGGGATAAACTAAATGGTTCTTTCTCAATGAAACGGTCAAAGGAGAATCATAGATTAATGGAGGTTGAGTTCAGCTGTGAGATTCGACAGCAGTCTGGCGAGTTAGTTCCGCGTTTCACAAATAGATATTTCATAGAGTGACCGGAGACACGGATCCTGTAAGACTGGATTGTAAGATGTGATCAGTCCTACAAATTATATTTGCAAGTTTTGTGGAGTTTTGCAGCAGTTTCGCTATACTCGAATATTTGTTATGTCCTAATCTTGTGATATTTTGAAGCCAAGTTATGGTAATTTCATCAGAATTGGGTCCTTATGGTCACATTAAATTTTGCAGTGTCATACCGGAGAACGTTTGAACCCCTTTTCCGGGTTCCGTTCAA